AGGGCGGAGGAGAGCGAAACTAGAGTTAGCTAAAAGGGAAGCCAGAGAGCAAGGAAAGGACAACCTGCCCATCGTTCTTTTCCTCAGTTTCTGCCTTTTTGTGTGAGCAGACCACAGCTGGGGTGGGGGGGGAGGAGGGAAGGTCTTTCCTTTGCCCGAAGACTGAACTGTCCATCATCACATGGGCCAAGGATTTTTAATTGAGGCTGCATCTGCCACCTGAAGAGCCTTTGGTATCGATGAGAAAAACCACGGGACAGTCCAAGTTTTTATCAAGGGACAGGGGAAAATAAAGCCCACATCCACTTTAAGGAAGCAGCGGGAGGTCCAGGGGCTTTCTGAGTGAAGTCTGGTTGCACGTGGTGGCCAGAGTTCTGGACCCGATGAGTGAGGGTGCAGGGTGGACCATTAGCTGGCCAGCCAGATGGCCTCTCCCATTTCTCCAGGTGGAGGCACCACTGGGCGTGGGGTCACCTGGCAAGGAACTGCGTTTCCCAGCCCTTCCCACGGGTGCGCATGGCCAGTGGAAGTGAGTGGGAGGGCCTGAGAGCAGCATCCTCTGCAGTCTCTTCCCCTACTCCGCTGGCTGAACTTGAATGTGGCTCATGGGGTGACTATGGCTTTGACCTTGCAGATGGTGACATGGTCCTAGAGATGGGGTGGCCTGAAACCTGGATGCCCAAATGACCCGTGGAGCAGAGCCACCCCCTGGCCTAGCACACTCATCTCAGACTTTCCCATGAAACAGTTCCTCTGTTGCAGTGGCTGGACCTTTTGCAACGAGCTGTAGAGCATCTCACTCCCTATGAATGACATCTGCTCAAGGTTGCTGAACTACATTTAGATGTCGCACCTCAGCCTCCCAGTCTCTCCTTCCAGAGAGCAGCCCCTCAGCCAATTCGGTTATGAAAACTCTGGGGAGAAAACATGCTTTGCGATCAGACGTGGATTCTAGCTCAGCTCTGCCACTTAGAGCTGTGCAACCTCAGACGAGTGGCTTCACCTCTCTGGGCCTCGATCCCCTGGTATGTAAAGTAAAAAGGGAGTCATAATCCTTCCACACAGCTTTGCCATGAGGCTCCAACAAGACGTTGCAGGTGAAGGCCCAGCACGGTGTTCAGTGCACGGTAGGTCTTCAGCAAAGGCCACCCTCCCTCCCTACCCCCGTTCCCAGCAGCCTTTGCTGCTGAGCCCCAGCTGGCCTCCCGTCAGCCCCAGCAAGCCGTGACCCAGACTGAAGTTTTTCTTTTGAGTAAGTGACAGGTTCAGGGAGGCGGAACGGAATAAGTACTTGGAGTTCGCAGCACAGAATTCTCTGAAATCAGATTCCCAGCGTTCCCTTTCTAGGATCGGGAACTAAGCCGGCTGTCTTGGCGCTTGTCTCTGAATGGTTTCACTGTGGGGGAATTTTCCTACTGTCCTATTCTACCCTCCGTCCCAGGGCTAAGCAGAGATCTGTGGGGCAAGTGTCCTCTGCTGCAGCCAGCCCCGCGCTCAGTAACCCCGTCCCAGGGTGAGCCTAGGGGGTGCAGGGAGCCAGGGCCGGGGCCGGGCTGGAGCAAGCATGTTCTGTTTAGCAACGAGCGGAATGTTGTGGATTATGTAATGGGAATAGTAATTCCTCCTTGCAGAGAACATAGGGTTGCAAGGGGCTATTCGTATGTTGTCTGGTCCAACTGCCCTGTCCCCACCTCCCCTGTAGAGATAAAGAAGCTGAAGTGTCTGGGAAAGGACGTGACTTATTCATAGTCCCCAGCAGAGCAGGGGAGTGGCAGAGGTGGCCCGGGGCTTGACGCACAGGGGGAGGCTTGCCCTAGTGAGCCCAGCTGCGTCCCGCTAGCCCCTCTTACAGCACCGAGCTGGCCCGTGATACCGGGGGCAGTGCTGGCCTCCATGTCTCATGCTTACAAAGACCAGGACTGGGAAAGCGTCAAAGTGATTTGCCTCCCACACTTGCCCTCTCTGCCCAGTGTGGCCAAAGGATGGGAGGGGAGCTAGGCTCCCAGGTGGGCAGAGCGGGGAGCTCTCCTCCTGCTCCCCTCAGGACCAGGCCCACCTGGTCTTGCTTCCACCCTGCCCAGGCCCACCTCACGTTGTGAATGTCCGGACAGAGATCTCGCCCTCTGAATTGGGAGCCCCATCACCTACATGCTCGGTGACAGTTGTTGATTGATCAAAAACACAGACCATTGATGCAAAATCCTTTCCTCACCCACATGAAGCTAAGATGGCCTCTGGTTTCGAACCCTCCCTCTGCCACGGCACCAGCTTTGTGCCATCTTGGACAAGGTGGGGGGGCAACAGGGTGACCATGAGGAGCAGGTTTCTCATGGAGCTGAAGAGGGGGCCGGGGCTCGAGACACAAAGTGTAAAGCACGCAGCAGGTGCAAGGCTGGTCTCCTCCTCTTGCCTCCGCCGTGGGGGCAGGTTCGGGGCGGCACAGGCTCAAGACCCTGTCCCTCTGCCTCCACCCCCATCCCGCTTCATTTCCCATGAAGGCTCACTCTGCTCGCCCAGTGTTTATTGAATACTGTCCAGAAAGTTGTACATCAAATCAACCATAGAAACCTGGGCTCTGTCCCAACCTTGAGGACCAACCGTCCGAGACTGCCCACTACTAACATTTGGGGCCAGATAACTCTCTATTGCGGGAGATGACCTGAGCACGAGGGTACTCTATCCACTAGATACTAGCAGTACTCCCCACCCAAGGCTTGATGATTCAAAAATGTTTCCAGATGATGCCAAACGTTCCCTGGGGCAAAATCAATGGTCTACAGGAGCCTCACAGAACTCAGACATATGGTGGCCCCTAAGGGCTGATGATCCATGGGGTGGGGGAGGATCTCTTTTGTTTGACCTCGCTACCCCTCCAGAGGGACACTGACAACTCAGCACACATCTCCCAGAAGGCCCAGAAGGGCAAGGGCCAAGAGAGGGGCACAACTTCCTATTTGGGGGTGCCCCCTCCCCCATCTATTTAAACTTGAAGACTGACTCAGTGCTGCCACCAGGCAGGTGCAAGCTAGGGAGGCCAAGGCCAGCTTTGGCTGGAGGAAGAAGCAAACCCTCTTAGAAATACAGAAAATTCACATGGTCGAGGACACAGCTTAGAAACAAACCCACTTTAATTGGTAGCGCACACAGAGATCCAGGGTAGCGGGGGCATCATGGGTGGGACCAGACCACACACCTGTCCTGGCCAGGGTACCCAGTCTGCTTAGAGGGTGCAGGCTGGGGCCGGGTGAGGGCACAGAAGCAGGGCGCCAGGGTAGAGGTATGGAGTATGCAGAGCTGGAGCTGGGGCAAGTATATAGCTTTGTGTTCACATGTGTGTACACAGACGTATCTGGGGCATGACGTACACAGAATTTATAGGAGCCCTCGAAGACCGATCTAGAGAGAGGGTCAGGGAAAAGACACCTCCGGTTTCTGAAGGGCCCCTCCCGCCCCGGGCCTGAAGAAGCATCAAGAGAGGGGGTGGGAGTGCCGAATACCCAGACTTAGCCCCGCTTCTGCCACTCACAGGTTTGCTGTGTGGGCTGGAGTGAGCAAGAGTCCCTCACCCTCTCTGGGCCTCAGAAAGATTCACTAGATGATCACTAAGGTTCCTTGTAGCCCTAAGTCTCAATATTTTAAAGGAGATTAAGATACAAAATGTATTTGTTAAGAGCTGATGACAAGACCTTTGGTCTGCAGGCTCAAATCCCACCACACTTGGCACGCAGCAGCCCAGCGCTAGGCACAAGCTAGGGACCCACGAGGAGCCTTCCCACCTACCTCTCTGGGCTCGGCGGGGGTTCCCAGCTGCTCCTGCACCCCCCCCAAACAGCGCACAGGGCACAGGGCAGTGGGGTGGCAGGGGCAGGCACAGGCCATGCGGGTGAGGGAAACGGGCCGAGGCTGGGGAAGGGCCTGGCCTTGGGGGCATAAAGTGCACCGCTCACCCTCTTTGTTTCCTAGCACACAGTGGACCCAGCACCCAGTAGGTGCTCAATAAATGCTTGAGGAGCGAGCACAGTAGAAGACGGCGTGGTTCTAGGCAGAGCCTTGCCCTGAACCTGGTGGGGTGGGGATGGGCTGGAACGTGCCACCTCCCCCCTGAGTCTCAGCCGCCTCCTCTGTGAAACGGGGGGTGGGGGGGGCAGGAGGAGAAGCAGCCCCAGCCTGCCCCCCCCCCACCTCCCCAGTGCAAGTGTAAACTGTGAAGCTCACGACGGAGGGCGGTGTCTAGCCGGAGGCAGACCCCAGAAACCTTGTCCCAGATCGGGATCGGGGAGAGAGGTGTCCCCAGCAGAGGCAGCGGGTCTAACCTGGGCGGGAGGGGGGGTCCGGCCAACGAAGCGGGGGTAGCTTTTCAGTACAAGGATTTCCGTTCCTGCAGCTACGCACAATGCACCACGGGAGGACAGCAAAGCACACCCAGCAGACAGGGGAGGAATCTGCGGGAGACGGTGGAGGCCGGCCGTCCCGGGATGGGCGGGGTCTGGGGACGTGGCCACGCCCCTCTTCCAACACAGGGTTGCCGGCCCTGGCTCACGGGTGGGGACTCCTGGGGGCCACCCCAGGGGTGGGGGGCGCGGAAACGGCTGAGCCGAGACTGGAGGGCGAGCGTCCTCTCCCATCTGGCTCCAGGGCTCGTTATCACCCCGCGACTGTTCCAGGAAGTTCCGTCAGGGTAGGGAGTCTGGCCCCTCCGGCATCAACCCCAAGGATAGGGCGGCTCTGCCTTGGGTGCCGAACAAGTCCCGAGGTCTCCCAACCTTGTTTCTGGCCCCGCACAGAGGAGCTGAAAGCACAGGGGGACCTCAGAAAAGCAGAATCAGAGGGAAGTGGCGAGAAGGCAAGGAGAACATACAGAGGTCAGAGGCTGGGGTCGCCCAGTCTGGCGCCAGAGGCCTTCGAACACGGCTGCTGTCGGGG